ACGGTAAAAAACACGCCCCCCTCCCCTCCCCCCTGTTTGAATTTCATCCTGGGGAGAACCCTGCATCTATGCCAGATCTGCCCTACAGATTATTGCCATCTATGCCAGATCTGCCCCATAGATTGCCATCTATGCTAAATCATCTCTTTAGACTGCCATATATCCCAGATCTGCCCCCTATAGATTGCCATCTATGCCAGATCTGTCCTGTAGATTATGCCATCTATTTCAGATCTTCCCTATAGATTGCCATCTATGCCAGATCTTCCCAATAGATTGCCATATATGCCAGACCTTCCCTACAGATTGCCATCTATGCTAGCCCCAATGGCACAGTCCTAGCAGCCAGGCACGAAATAGCCGCCATCGACCAGCGGCGACAGCAAAGCTCTGACGCTCGAGCACTGCTACGGCGGCGCCCCCTGCACTCACCCTCCTGACGAGCGGCTTGGGGATGACCTCACAGTAGTTGCCATCTGCCTGCAGGGTCGTGAAGTTCTCCGTGAGAATCGCAATCTTCTTCTCGTTGTCCCAGCCGCACGGGCTGCCGAGCGCGCGCCGGAAACAAGAGAGCAGATGTCAACCTCCGGTGATCGCAGGATCGTTGGATGAAAGTGCCGGACGATTAATCCGTGAGCGATTTAAATGGTGGGCACGCCGCTGCGCGTGGCGCTCTCCCTGCCCGTGAACCCTACATGCGTAATATTACCGGGACCACATGGGTGGCATTAATGCTAATTAGCTTCCCCTGTTATGCACCAGTCAATTGAAACCCCGGCCCCCCGGACTCCCGTGACAGGGTGGGGAAGTAACGCAGCCACAGCCACGATTTAACGCGCATTTAACGACATAGTAGCCCGGGGTGGCCGGCAAATTAACAAGACGCTTTACCAGCGGGGCCATTTAGCCGTGATTTAACAATGAACAGCCAGCACCGCAAGTGGGGATAATCACGGGGATTTAATACCAGGGGATTTCAAATAAATACGTTTATTTGAAAAAGGTGTCACATGACAGAAATTCACGTAAATAAAGACTTTATGAACCAGAATTTAGTTTTGTTTGGAATCTGAGAAATGATCCCCAGTTATAGGGGCTTTTAACAGACTACCTGCCCCTTATGGGCGGGGAAATTGCTGTTTTTAACACTAAGGAAGTGTTAAATTCCCCGCCTTTTCCCGGTCGAGGTCGAGAGCTGGAGTTTCAATTGACTGGTGCACTACACACTGCATCTCCTATCCGGCTGACTCCATCGTCGACTGTGCTCGAGTAATACATGACAACAAAATCTCTGCGTTGCGAGAAAGCCAAGGTCCCGGCTACATCGATCGTGCACGCGACTAAACCCACAACTTCTTACGGGGCCATTACTTATTCATTGCCGCCGTACAAAGATGATTAAACAGCGGCGGAATCCAATGATTGATCGTTTAGTGACTACAGCAACCTACAGTGCTCACGCGATGCTGCAAACAAGTGGGAAAGGATGAGTGAAAAGCACTCAAGAGATTCTACAGCGATATGTATTACCCTCAACGCTAAATGCTCCCGACTCAAGTGCATTCAGGGAACACCGACATGCTGCCACGATAGATTCCACATCCATTGTACTGCACCTATGCATCAGCTGAGTCTAATGGAGCAATTGACCCCACTTTAGCGAGAAACATTTTAAATCAAATATGGGTGTGTTAACCAGCTTTTAGACGGAAATCAGCAGCGCAGCATGAGTTGCCACCCTCACCATTTTCAACCATGCATGCGTGCACCTGCACACGTTTCTCTCGTGCGTGTTTCTCTCCTGGTTTGATTTCAAATGTTCACGACCGATACGGTGGCCAAAAGACAACACCAATTAACCTCGATGTGATAGGACAATGCACTGGTCATTGTACGCGGATCGGCGACTCGAGCCCAACCCGACCGCTACGACGACGACGACGACGACGCGAGAGATGCTCACATGAAGATGCCGTCTCGCTCGACGACGTTGGCCGTCAGGTCGAAGGGCACGTCGTAAATCCTGTGCAGCAGGTACTTGTACAGCAGCTCACAGTTCTTGTTCTCCTTCACCGACACGTACACGATGCCGGCGCCCACTGGTGGCGGCGACGCGTTAAGGGCAACGACGACGAACCGCAACAACGCCAGGCCACCGCACGAATGACCGGGCTGGATCAAGCTAAGCCGGCCGGGCTAGATACTCTGTGCCATGTTACAGGCATACGTGCGTACGTGTGCTTATGTGTACAAATATGCACTTGCGTATATAATACACACGCACAAACGCACACACGCACAAACGCACACACACACATATAATATATATATATATATATATATATATATATATTATACACATGCAGGCACGCACGTACACACATATAGATATATTTATAATATATATATATATATATGTGTGTGTGTGTGTGAAGACGTATAGAATGAAAAGAATGATTCAATTAACTATACATGTGTGCACAGAAAGGATACAGCTGAGGGCAAAGTTGCGCACTTGTTGCTGTATGTAGTCAAAGTGTTCGTCCCTGTAGTCGCTCTCTCTCTCCAACTCCAACATGGCGTCACTCTAAAAACAGCAAGAAAGTGCAGAACCGATAAGCTCAGGTTCGCAATCTTCAGCTGGGTGCGACGGCTCATCGTCATGGCAACACGGGTCTAATTACACTAAGGCTCGAGTCCGAGTTCCTTTCGATGTTTTCGTATTTTTATAAACCATGTTGCTGATCAGGGTGAAGTCACTTTGTGCGCATGGTGTGTATTTATAACTAAGTTTTAGCACAACGAAATTAAGCTATCACCCTGACACGATTAACAGACAGCCCTACCCAACCATTGCTGCAATCAGTCATTCTAAAGCACTTCTTAGCATCGAGATATTGCAGTCAACCTTTCGGCACATGCGCACGCAAGGAACGACCTTGCGACGACATCCGAGGTGGGTGAGGTCATCTAGGTCTCTCTTGAACCAGAATAGATCGATTTCCGCGAGTCCTACCTTTGTCACGACAATCAACACTGGAACGCCGAGGTTCAGGGTTAGCACTCCGTCGCCCAGGGGAAGCGTGTCGTCATCTGCGAGGGGGGACAGCGTCGTCCGCTGCCGCAGCGACGCCGTCATGATGTCAGCCTCCCTGTCGTCCGGTTCCACGTACTCTTGAAAGGTCTTCGTTACTTGAGCGAAGAGAAAAACAGCAGACGATCGTCGCACGTACTGTCAAACCTGCATTAGCGGTCACCTCTATAGAAGGGACACCTGTCCATTAAGGTCGCTTTTGGGGTTTTCCTTGATTTGCAAGTAAATAGTGAAAGACATAACACATCAACACTGTAGAATTGCCATCTGTCTATAAAAGATGCTTTTGGGTGTTACATTGAGTGACTCTTACACGCAGAGTTGACTACGTTTCTTTGCTGCACAGTAAGCGCAGGGAGGGGTGGCAGGGGACCTCTAGACGGCAACATGAGCTTACGAATGGGTCCGACCATTCTCCAACGTTAGTTGCAGAATATTTTCGTCGGTATATGCACCGACGGAAAATGCGGGATCCTTACGTTTCTGCCTGCACTCTCGCAGCCTGCTGTTGTCCAGGCCCATCCCGTTGATGTGGTGCTGCAAGAGGCTGCACCACGTGTCCAGCGTGTCCATGATGGCCCAAGGCTGGGCCATGCTGGCCGTGAGCAGAACCAGGGTGTCGCCAAGGTTCTCCTTTGTGAGCATGTACCGGAACAGGTTCGTGTGCTGCGGGTTCCCGTCCAGCAGCCACACGCCCAGTCTAGCCGTGTCTGCGAAACATCAAGTTGCTGTAACATGCCGTAGTTGAAGGTCAGGGTTCTCCAAGCCTTTTCATTATAGCATGGCGGGTGCTGCCTTTACGGTCCTAGTTGCAAATCGTCGAAGGCGGTTTGTGCATGCTAGGGGGGTCCGGGGGCTATGATATTTAGCATGGCGGGTGCATTTTAGGATGGCGGGGCTCGACAATAGCCTGGCGGGCCGCCAGGTTATAAGTGCTCTTGCAGAACCCTGAAGGTGTGTGCAAAATATATATATGTAGTACGTTATATATACATTATAGTACGTATAAATTTTCTGGTGATTTCTTAATTCTGCAAAAGGATAAATTGTTGTTCCAGACAGTTCCAGCAACCCCTTTCGAGGTTCAATCATGCTTTCGCTCTCCACCCACAGCTCTAAAGGCTGCGCCGACTGAAACATATGTACAACCACCTTTAGATGTTGTTAGCAGGTTCGGTTGGCTATTTGTTTGACTTTCTAGGACACTTACACGATCTCGGTCACGTTGGTGAGAGAAGCAGGAATCTTACCATCACCGTACTCATCCTGTACATCGATGACATGGTACTCTAGACCGGCACCCTTCCTCGATACTTCGTTTGCCTCCAGCCTGGCGATAAGAGTCGTCTTTCCAGTCTCATTGTTACCTGGAGATCATGGAAGAGCACATAGAATACATATTTGCATTATCAAAGATGAATGTAAGTTATTACAAGATTCAACATGTTTATTATATACAGTACAGTTGTATATTACAGTTGTGAACTCAAGTCTGGTGACAACTGTAGTAACTTACATATACATAAGGGTAGGGGAAGAAATAGTATTATAAAACTCATAATTAAAAAAATGAAGCAATGTACGATCGAATTTTCATAATAACTTAAAAGTTAAGTATAAAGGAAAGACAAGCGCATATCAGTCTCTAAGTGTCGGCTGCTCTTCAAGTCGAAGTAGGAGAGGGAGATGGGAAAGGAAGAGGAAGACGAGGATGAGGAGGGGGCGGAGGAGGATGAGGAGGTGGAGGGGGATGAGGAGGTGGAGGGAGATGAGGAGGAAAAAGCGTGTCCAACAAAAGATCACGCGAAGAAAAACATACCTAACACTATCAGTGACTTCCCATTAGGAAATTTGCTGGAAGAACTTGTGTGTACGTCACACAATACTGATGACCTGCATACAACAAAGTTCTATGTTACTCGGTTAGCTCAACAAATATTTCGTTTACCGGAAAATGGCGCAATATTTTGTGGTTTTTGCGTCCTTGCGGGTTTAACGATCAAAATGAGAGAAACATCTGTTCATCAATGAGTTTATACTGCTGAAGCCGAAAGTACATAAAGTTTTGTTAGGCGGGCCGCTAGAATTTCTGAAGCAAGATATTTTGAATGTTACTGATTTGCAACATAAATCAACTATCTATGATTTCAGATTCCTCAAAAAAGTGATGTGTATAGATAATTTCCACTCATACAAACCAAATATTATCATCTTCCTCTTTAGCCAGTTTAGGGTGATTTGTTATGGGTGGCGCCATGTTTATGTCCACACTTTCAATCGGGCCCGAGAGGTGGCGCTTCCCGCGGATTTCGCGCAAACAAGTGTGCGTGCGAAATCATATGATCTTGTATGACATCATTGCTTTGGTTTGTTTTGGTGTCTGGAAACGTGTGGAAGCAACACAAAGAAGCACGCTGCACGATTTCCGAGAATGGGAAGCGAATGGTCGGCGAAGCACCACTCACGACGTTCACAGATAACCGGCTGTCATTTTCTCTGAAGGACATCGCACGCGATGGGAGCCAAAGCGAGCGTAGCGTCCAGCTCGAGAGACCGACCCTACTACTCGGCGACAGACGTGCGTGACCCAGACTCGTCTAGTCACGTCGAAAGACACGGTGATGTATCGGTGGCGACGTCGGCGGCGGCGTCCGGTAACAGTTCCTTCTCCGTCCGGCGCCCCGGCAGCGTGCACCACCGATCGAACAGCACGTACGCCGAGGGGCTGGCGGAGTTTCGGCAACTGCGGCACGCGCCGCGCGCGACCCGCGGCCGCTTCTTCAGCCTCGGCCTGTCGCCGCGCAATGACACTCGGACTCGCGGCGGCGGCGGCAGCGGCCGGCTGTTCGGAGATTCGGACAGCAGTCCCGACGACGACTCCTTTGCGGGACTCGCGCAGTTCATACACCTCTCGCACTCGCTGCCCGTGCAGCTCGTCTCGTTGGACGGTGAGTGGCGTGCGTTCACGCGCGAGCGTCGCGGGTCGGCCGTGCGATCGCGCCCAGGAGGGTCGGAGCGCCCGCTTCTGCGAGGAAGTGCGGAGACAGCGTTGTTCGTGTAGATGGCGTGGAATCCTTTTTTTCTATCGATGAGTGACATCAGTGTTGCATATGGTGGTTGGGTGGGTGGGTGGTTGATCGGATTTGGTGGTGGTGATGGTGGTGTGGGGGTGGGGGTTTGACCCATTGCCAGAAGTATTACGCGGTGGGTGTAGGATTGTAATTTGCTGTGGCTAATAGCGTTAGACGGAGGCCGTGAAAATTAAAATTAAAACGCATTTGGGTGTGAAATTGGGAGGCAATTTTCACCACAAACATGTTTTACACAAACATGCACCCAAATGACTTCCTTTCAAAATTTAGAAAAAAAAGATTGAGCGCTAACTCTTTCCTCTTCCGCATCATACTAATTATACGCATGATACGTGGTGGAGTGATCACTCATCGTTTCTTTAGCATTTACATATATATATATATGACTATTTAAATGATTCGGCATTCTGCCTGGAATGTAGAAAGGGTGTATTATATCTGTACCTGTGTGAATGAATGCTCACACAATGGGTAATACTTCAGGCAGCAGATGGCAGATGGCAGACAGATGTCGGGAATTCGTTTTGCGCAATGATTCCAGTTTTTGCAAAGTACTTTTCGTTGTAAAAAGTAAAATCTTGTCGAATGTTTACTCTTGGAGGAATGCAGAGGAGAACCTGTTTGGACTGTTTAAAGCAACTGTACAGTTCTGCACCACCGACCTGTTTCACGCAATAGCTTGATCTGGCACGTATAAGCTATAGTGCGTGCTATGTTGCACCTGTACTAATCTCTACTCAGTCGTGTTATCTGTAACAACAGGTAAATGCACGTTGTAATTTTGAGGAAAAGTGAAACTGTGGGAGGGGGCAATCGTAAGACTGTTTGATTGTTATGCTGTTCAGTCTAATGTAGTAACTCATAGAGTATGATCAATACACCTACGTCTGTTATCAGAACGACATCATATCCTAGTAGTCTTCATACTGTTTCAGGAACACTCGTTTATTTATCGCTCCCATACTCTCATTACGAATGGCAAAGGATACGTAGGTTCGGTAAAAATGTGCCTACTCGCGGCCGAGGTGAAGGTAATGGAGATTGGAAAGCTTAGTTCGTACGTTATTGAATTTTACGAGACGCTGAATGGGGAACGAAAATTGCTTCATGTATTATTTACTGGATTAGGTACCAAGATCTCACATTTTCGTGTCCCGGGTGCGAACGCTTTAGAGTTTTCTCTCAGTCGAGATCTTCTTGCAGTGATTTCTATTCCCACATTGGTCATTCAACATTATACTTCTCTCATCAAATACGATGCATTCCTACGATATTTCTGAAATGCGACAAAACCAAATCTATAGTGAATTTCATCCTCTATGCTGTTCTGAAGCGATAACTCATCGGGAGTATAGATTTCTGAATAACCACAGCCCAGCGCGGAGTGAATGGATATATGCGCAAAATTTGCAAGAATATGTAAAGGGAACTCTGCCTATCGTATGCCAAAACCGTCGCGAATCGTGGTAATTCCACGCGCGCTAGTCTGCGAAACTTTCAACTCGCTATACTCGCACTCCTAATTTGCGCGACTTTCTCGTAATCACTCGCAGCTGCTTTTAATTGTTGAGGAGAATCGCATCGCGACGCAACGTTGCCGTTACGTTGCCGCTGCCGTTACGTTGCCGCTGCGAGGCAACGTTGCCGCCACTGCCTTTGCGCGTCGCGGGGTTGTAATCTTGGCGGTATTTTTCTAGGAATCAAGTGTCCGATCTGCACGAAGCAGGTGCCGTCGGACGACGTAGAGTGCCACCTGGTAATGTGCCTGACAAAGCCGCGAATCAGCTACAACGGTGAGTCGGTTGCCGCCGGTGGGCCGCCGCTTCCGCAAGTCGACTGATGATTCGTGCCGGCAGCTTGACTGTGGTGCTTGACAGGACTTGTCTGTCCTGTTGGTTGACCGGTGCATTGGCAGGTTGACCTCTGTGTTGACAGCTTGACAGGCGTGCTGACAGTGTGACAATCACGTTGGTTGACCTTCGTGTTGACAGCTTGACAGGCGTGCTGGCAGCATGACTGTCCCATTGATATCATAGGTTGACCTCAATGCTGACAGCTTGACAGGCGTGCTGGCAGCGTGACTGTCCCATTGACAGGTTGATCTCTGGGTTGACAGCGTAACTGCCACATTGACATTGCACCTCTGTGTTGACATCATGATTGATACCTTTGACCGATTGACCTTGCCAGCTGTAGCAGCATGATACCAAAGTCTTCCCCGGGTGTCTGTTCGTTAATGAGCAGAATTGTCTATTGTATATATGTGTAATCATCGTGAATAACTAACTACGCAGTGCCAGTTACTTCATAATTGTCTGAATTTTAACACCCGGTTCTTTTATTGCGTAGGCGATAAATACTTTCGTCAATAATTTAATGGTGATGTTGTAATTGGTGGGGGTGTGTCTTGAATCGTAAGCAGTTATGATGTGCAGTTGAAGGGTGAGTAGAAACGGCATGCAAATGGTGGGTGGCGGTGGTGATGGAGGAGTGAGGGGTTAGTAGTGAGAATGTGGGAAGAGCTCGAAGAGTAACAACAGAAGAATAGCGAGTTGGCAGTGGTGAGTAAGCGTGGGGTAGGTGTGGGAGTAAGTGGGTGGGTGGGGGGGGGGTAGGCATGGTGTAGATGTGGAGTAAGCGTAGGGTTAGGCGTGAGGTAAGCGTGGGGTAGACGTGAAGTAAGCGTGGGGTAGGCGTGGAGTAAGCGTGGGTAGACGTGGAGTAAGCGTGGGGTAAGCGTGGAGTAAGCGTGGGGTAGATGTGGAGTAAGCGTGGGGTAGACGTGGAGTAAGCGTGGGGCAGGCGTGAAGTAAGCGTGGGGTAGACGTGGAGTAAGCATGGGGTAGACGGGGAGTAAGCGTGGGGTAGACGTGAAGTAAGCGTGGGGTAGACATGGAGTAAGAGTGGGGTAGACGTGAAGTAAGCGTGGAGTAAGCGTGGGTTCAGGAGTAATCACACGACATTTACACCTTGAACATAAAAATGGAGGGCAATCTCTCGAGCCGTTCTCTTGTGTTTTTTTCCCCCGAGCAGACGACGTACTGGCAGCTGACAGTGACGAGTGTGCAATCTGTCTCGACGACATGCAGCAGGGAGACTCGATCGCGCGACTGCCCTGCCTCTGCATTTATCACAAAGGGTAAGAGCGCGAGGCCACTGCTGCCACCACCCGCCGCGTCTCAGCCGAGGGACAGGGGTCTCAAACTCGAGGCACCCCGCTGTAGTCTCGGCCGAGAGGGGGGGGGGGTCTCAAACTTGAGGCACCCCGCCGTAGTCTCGGCGGAGAGACGGGGTGGGTCTCAAACTTGAGGCACCCCGCTGTAGTCTCGGCCGAGAGACCGGGGGGGTCTCAAACTCGAGGCACCCCTCGAGGCACCCCGCCGTAGTCGGCTCATGCTCTAGTTAAATTAACGTCGAGCGAGCGCGCGTGAAATCTCACGCCGTCGCGGCTACGTGAGCGCGTCATCATCGCCGGTGCGTGTGTCAGTGGATACGTACAGGGCCGGACTGGGAAAATCATTCAGGCCGGGAAATACATATAGCGCGAAATATAGCCCCAGTCGGGCCACTTTCAGGCTAAGGTGGAAGTGATGTCACTCCGCCCCCACCTATAATAATATGGCCTGCAGGCCGCAGATAAAAAAAAGGGTTATATATGGCCTGCAGGCCGCAGATTTATTTATTTTTTTTAAATTGGGGGGTGGGGGCAGGCCACTTAGGAGGCCAGGCCACCGGGAAAACTCCCGGTGCTCTCGATCGCCAGTCCGGCGCCCTGGTTACGTACCCTGCTGCCCGACTCGCGTTGCACCTAGGCTCTAGCAATGATTGCGCGCATGAGTGGCATCTCAATTATTTACCGCATTCGCCACGCATCCTCGTCGATTCGCGTAATGGGCGAACGAGGCCCTAGAGTGTCGAGTCGAGTCTAAACGGCGTTCGCAATTGCAGGTGTATAGAGGAGTGGTTTCGGAAGAAGCAAGAATGTCCGAAGCATCCGGCGGATTGACCGACGGATTGACCGACGGATTGACCGACGGATTGACCGACGGATTGA